TTATAATTTTTATATAAATTAATTATAAAATAATATTTTTATTATACTCTTAACTTATACTTTAAGAATATAAATTAAACAAACATATTTATAAATATAATAAAATGGTCATTTATCTTTTCGAAAGTGCGTGTTCATTAGCAATTTGCTGGTTAGAATAACATTAAAAGAGACACACCTAAAATTTAGGTAACTAACTTTTATGTGTAAAATTCACCAAGAAATTGGTGTACAAAAACTATTTTTATTACTAATTGATGAACTTTATGGTAGTAAAATGTCGTCGATGACTCTTCTCGTCATCTAATGACAATGATTACATTAGAGGCAATGAATTCTTTAAAGAAGCCTTAACCAATAGGAAAGTTGTTGTGATTTTAAACTAAATTTAGAGTTTCAAGTCTTTCACCACAGGACCTAGTCATTTATTATATACCTCTGTTACACTATATTAATCATTTTAAGTTTATGTATAAGAATTAAGAAAATAGTTACTTATTTTAAATTTTAGTGTTAAATAAAATAAAAGCGTTATCTTACCATTTTCTTTGTCCACAATCTTCTATTTGATATAAAACTCCATCTATCATTATACTTTCTCTTGTCTTTTTTTTTTTTCATTATTAAATAAAAAATTTTAAAGTCACTAATAGTAAATTTGATGTATTGTGAATATAAGGAAAACTAAATAGCCATTTTGAAGAGTTTTAGAGATTCATAAGCCAAAAAGGAGTGCTATATATGAAACAAAGGGAAGTGGAGATCTTTGTTTTTTTAAAATAACAAAGATTAGAGTCATTAAGCTTTTATTGTAGGGTAAAGTTAAAAGAAACAAAATTAAAGAGATCTTGGTTTAGTCAAAATGACAAATAAATAGGAACAAAATTTTGTACTTAAAATGACTAATATAGTGGAATAGGGGGAGTATATTTTTAAGATGTGTTTGATGTTTCTATTAATCTAAACAACTGAAGAGTAATGAATGAGCAACTTAAAAAGTTAGGTGCCATTATGTTAGGGCTACCATTTAAGTGATAAAAATGTTGATTTTAGCAATTTTTGTTAATAATTTTGTTAGAATTGTCAATTGGGTGCCTAAAATGTTGATTTTGCCAAAACCATCCATGAGATTACCCGATTTATGCAAGATTATGTAAGATTTTGATATAAATTAATTACTTTAACTAGGAATTCAAGTTTTCCAAGTGGATTGTACATTTAAAATACAATTCGTTTTACAAATTTATTTAAATATTTTTAATGAAATAGTATAAAAAATAATTTTATTAAATATATTTTAATAAATTTATAAGATAGATTATACTTTTATTATATAATTT